GTGTGTGAGTGCGTGCGTGCGTGCGTGCGTGCGTGTACATCTGGAAGGCTGCTCTGGGAGCCTGGACCAGGGGTCCCATGCTGGCACTCACTCAACCCTCCAATATTCACCATCAATATTTGAAAGGCACAGGGAAATGGATGGGAGTTAAAAGGCACTCAGCATGGAAGTAAGCAGTTTAAAGCAAGGTTAAATAATACTTAGCTGAGACACCAATAAAAACATCAGCAATTTATTACTCCTCTACAAGCCCGCTGAATAATTCAGCTGCTGTTACAGCATGTACCTCCCGTCTTTTACAAGACGCACTTCCATCACTGACCATTTACGGCCATTTGAGGAATATTAGGCAATTTTGGTCGTAGTAAATCACAGTGGTGCAACAATGGGGTGAATGTGTCCAACGCATAGTGAAAAATACATCAACTCAGTAGCAATTTGTTTTTAAATTTACTTTATAAGACAGATAATCAATCAATGGTCTATTAAAAAAAATCATGACTGGAGGGCTTTTTTTAATTGCATCTTGCTTTCTGCATTATGTGCCCTGGGGGAGGAGAGGACAAGATTGGAAGATAGTAAGGTTTTTAACTTGCAACCTTGTCCTTTGCTCCATAGGACAGATGTCAATCCAATTACAAAATATACCCAGGGCAGAGAGAGTGAGTGAGACAGGAGAGCGAGCGAGAAAGTGAGTGTGTTATAATATTGTGTCCATGAGGGAAATTAAGGAGCCAGTTCATTGGCAGGGGAGAGCCATCCTTGCTCATTGTGTTTAATGAGGCACTGATGGGTAATATGCATGGTTGATCAGCAAGAGCCCTCATTAGAGGCCCATAAATGAAGACAATAATAAATAAAGAAAGGGACTGGCCTATTTCCACTAATTTAATATTTCAAGATAAAGACCTACTCTTTGCCCCTTTTCCCCCAGACTTAGTGTAGCTACAGGAAAAAATAAGACCCACACACAAAGGCAGAAATGAGCAGATGTATTAAAGTGGTCTCAAGTGTACTACCTAAACTATTGTGAAATGCATAGTACTTGGGTAGGAGAAATGCCATGCAACAAGCACAAGCACTTCAAGCCCAGATGTGTCCATTAACAATAGTTTGCTGAAAAGGAGGACAGACAACGGTCAGGGCAATAGCTGACCTGGATGTTTTCTTTTCAATGTTGTTCACTGAAATTGGGGGTTGGGGGAAGAAAAATCTTTTTACACGTTGTTTGGCAGCCATTTAAAACAAAGCCATAGTGTGGGTTTATCCAGGTGGCCACTTGCAGGGATAACAGTGGGCTTATCTGGATATTTTCATGTGTTTTCTAGTCAAACAGGAAGCACCACCAGTCAGGTTCATCTCAACACGAGCAGCTGCCCTAGTTACATCCTATTAATGGCCCTCAGCCCCATCAATAAGGCATGCATCTGGATGCTGTCTGTCTGCCTGGCACGCTCTTTCACCCCACCTTGCTTTACAATATGCATGAGGATTTTGGCATGCCTACAGAGCTCCTCAATGAATAACGAATGGAAGGGTATTCGTAAAACATACAGTAGCTACATTTCCACCTCCTCTGACACGAGCAAGCAGCGTGACTTGGGAGGAGGCCGAAGTGTTTCATAAATCAGGGCGAGGTGCCAAACACTGCCACATAGTGGGATCAGGAATTGGCGAGTCAGCCTTCTGTGCTGTCAAATAGTTTATAAAATGTAGATGCTAATTTTTCAATTATAGATGAAGACCAACAAAGAGTCATGGTGAAAAGATCACAGCCACAGATTAAAGAGTACAGCCAATAATACTAATGTTACATTGTTCCCAATGTGAGAGCACACATACACAGGAAGGAGCCACAAATCAAATTTGCTTTTCTTAGGGAACAACTGCTCCTTGCAGCTGCTCTGCTTTGGTGAGAGTGTAATAAAGCATCTGTTTCAGTCCAGCTGATAAAAACAAACAGCTCCCCACCACCTATTGAATGTGCCTGGAGTCATCAAGTCAGCCTTCTGGGCAGGCCTCTTACGCATGCTAAAGACTCTGCAACATTCAACTGTAGTAATAAGATCAGTGATGGCTGGAGCTTTGTATTGAAAGGGAAACCAATCACTTCTCTTTCAGAAGGGCAGGGCGATCACCGCTGATCAGTGACGAGCAGGTGGTATTTTGAAAGCGTGATGAACACCATACAGCTCGGTGCTGCAGTGTGCAGAGAAAACAGCTTAGCGGCAGAGTTGAGACTGCTGACTGCTGTCTGTATCTCAGCGAGCTCAGAGCAGCACAGGCTGCGTTCTGCTCACGCTCAGCCTTCCAATTCCCACAGCTATCCAGGTCAGCAGTGAGGGATGAGGCTCCTCGTTAAAACCTTAGCCAATTAAAGCAATACGTGCTGCGAGGAGGCTCTCAAGAGCTCTCCGGCTCGCATTTATAAACACACAACGAGGCAGTGAAGATGCCTGCGAGACCAGAGCTGGAACAACAAACCGGCTCTTGAGGGCTACACTTGTTGTGTATATAGTATAAATGTATTGGTGAATATGGCATGAAACAAAAAAATTAACACATTTGATTCAAGAAGAGGCAAATCTGCACAATAAAGCTGCTTTCAGACATGAACTGTGGAGGATGTTTCGCCACAATCGAGTCTGAACTTTCTCTGGAGTTTGCCTTTCACATATGCATCAGGAGATTCTCCAGTCAGACGCATTAATAACAACAAATTAGTCTCTGGGGTGTTCCGGCGAGAGATGGCACACCATGCAGAGGCAGAATATAACATATAAATACCGCTGTGGAGATCACAAGTTTTTGTTTACAGAGTACTGAAATTTCTCGAATCTTGTTGTCCTTTCAAGTTGAGGTCTTCATCTGCGTCTTTACATGTATGGTACCTCTTTTTTATTCTGAGAAATTCTTATTCTTTTAGTTTTTTTAGGTTCCTCCTCAGAATAATCTCCTCCTGTGCTTTCACAGGGGCTCATGAGTTTTTACCCGGGAGCTGGCAGGATAAACTCCAGAGAATGTCCGCAGCAACTGAACCCGACATTTGTGTTCTCATATTCATCTCCCACGGACATTTTCAGGAGATTATCCGCAGTTCAGTGCATGTCTGAAAGCAGCTTAACTTTAGCAGGTGAAGTATCACATTAAAGCAACATAATATTTGCTGAATGAAGAAGGCATGTACAGTATGTTGAAAAATACAATTAACAGCTAGTGATTATCTTATGTGCAGGTTTGCCCCTAACCAAGGTCAAATAAAGGAATAAAAAAGGGGGTATACACACGGTGAGAGGCAGATTGGGAAGTCCACGTACCCCGATGATAGCATTCAGCTCAGTCATAGTCACCTGCTTTGCCCGCTCCACTGCCTGAGCAACCTGCTGTTGGTGCTGTGGGGAGACATTTACAAAAGATTAGTGCACATCTATCACACGCCCACTTATTCCACCTCACTTATGTGTTACTTTCACACTTAATTTTCACAGCACTGCTGCCATTTAAAAAGCAACAGCAAATGCCAAACACATTACTCCCAAACTGCTTGGCCCGAAACTGATTTGAAGTAGTATCTTTAGAATGCATGCTACAACGGATAACTTTATTTTAGCATTAAACTGTGACATTGTTTGGGAGCCACATTGAAAACTCACCTCTTGAGACAGGAAAGGCATAATTTGAGCTAAAATTGCGTTGAGCCGTTTGGCAATCTCCGTCTGCAGAAAACAAAAGGGGTGCAAAAATTAAAGTATGAAACAGACAGTGACTTCATATAACCCCGCCTCTAATGTTTACACCGATTAAGTCAATTGCTGCGGCAATCAGAACTGCTTGACTCGACATCCTCTAAACAGCGTGATATTGACATTTGAAATATTTAAAACATTAGGAGAGCCCAGGGGGATGGAGCACAGCTGTGCTGAGAGTGCACTCCATGCTAAACGGATATGAGCAGGCAAAGTGCTGCTGAGTTGAGAGGATCCTCTCCCGCTCTGCCCTTCTTCCCCTCAATCTGCAACTGTGATGTCCTGCAGTTAACCTCTGAGTTAAACCACACAACCACACCCCAGGAAGTGAGGCCCACTAACCAGACGGCGCTGTTTACTTACATGTGATGGTGAAGGCAGTTTACATTAAAGGGTTATAACTGCAAATTGAGCAAAGATTAGAAACCATAATGACCTCCAGGGTAACACACCTCAACTCTTTGATCAATACCATTAGAAGAGAGCCAACCAGCCTGGAAATGTAAGGAGCGCAGGGCTGGAGCTCTGCCTTCTCAACACTGAAAGCCAGGCCATTTCTCACTGCAATCAGCTGCCCAGCGCACCACCCTCCCAACCTCCCATCCAGCCCCTCAACCCTCTCTCCATTCTTCTGCTTGTCTACCAACTGCCATGGCAACGGCTGCAGCCCTATCTTGCTGGGATCATTATGCAAATGGCACCTCTGCTTGACCGTAACAGGCTTTAAAATCATATTACTTGCTTGGAGGCAGGTCATTAAATTGAATTTTCAGCCTGTCGATCACATGAAAGTAGCAAATGAATGGTGAAAATATAAGAGCAGTGGGAGGAGGTGTGATCCGACCCCCCTTCCCCTATAAAAACACCACACAGCCAGCTTGCTCTGCTTCCTCCCTTCTTCCTCTAGTTGGGAGACGAGACTCTCAGGTTCAAGCTCAGCACTGGGAGCAGAAAAATAACAGTGCCAAAGCTACATCATCTATGGAATTTATGAGCTGCAGTTCAACCCAGGGCCACTGCGGAACACAAACACATCACAGGGATTTTCTCCGATTTTTCATTTGGAGCTGCACACACAATGTACTTTGCAGACTGCCAGCTTATTTATTACACATGGCAGAAATGCCAGGCAGTTTTGGCAGCCAGACATATTACCTCTGAGCCGAGCCAGAGAGATTGGAGAGTAATGTCCAACAGAACGAGACCTGCTGACCCAAGCTGCAACACAGATAGCCACTTAGCCGGGCAAGCCAGCAGGACAAACAACCAGCTAAAGATGAAATATCAGATGAAACAACGTAAAGCCTGGGATCAGAGGTAATAATGTGAAACAAACATGTGGTAGCATGTGTTATGGAAAGTACAACAGTGCATGAGATAACGCTGATTACAAATTGATTAATGTCTGCAGACAAGAAGGACAATGAACCCGAGTCTCCTTTGACACACAATAAATGTGACCTACAACCGATGAAGCAATGGAAGGGTTAGATGACGGTTTTATGGGCATTAGTATTAATGCAATGTAGTAAGTGCTCTTCAACAGCTCGAGAAGGCCCTCAGAAATAGTTGAAAAGCTACCGATGTATAATCCATGTTTGTTGAGATAAGCCATGTCAATAGCAGTCGAACATTTGACAGGATTTGTGAAAAGGCCTTGAGCGAAAAGTCCATTGCTTTGTAGCTTAGTGTCATGGTGACAGCTGGCTGGGAGAGGTCAGGAGGTGGCTGATCCACTGTGCCCTAAACAACTGGCAGCCTCTGCAGTCTCACAACATGTAAATACATGGAAAAGGCATCAACTCAGCTCACCACCTCTGTCAGAATAGATATAGTGCAGTGCTGTGAGGATTTTTTTTGTTCCACTGGCAGATAAAATGGGGCTGCTGCCACTTTAAGCAGATGACAGCTTGGCCCTTGAGAGGCCAGCTTTGCGCTGCTGCTACACAATTACAGGTACTCGGACCTGTGTAGCACCACTTTAAGAGCACTCTCAGGCTGGCTTGTCAATGCCGTGCAGAAAGGTATTCGCCTGTTGCTATCAGCGGTGGCGAAATGGAGTGGAGACTCTGATGAGTATTAAATACAGAGGGAAAACAACTGGTGGCTCTGGTCACATGATCCATTTATAAACGATACTTGACGAGTCAGATTTAGAGGGCCTCCAATTTGTCCAAGATGACGGCATCGCCCGTTTCCTGATTTTAAAATTAGGATGAAAATTAAGACAAGTACTAAGTGACGCTTGTTTCCACTTAAGTGAAATGTGGAAAAAGCCTCACAGTCGTTCATGTAAAGCAATTCCCAAATTCTTTTCTGTTTGGCATTTGAAGTTATCAGTATTGATCTCAGGGAAACCAATAGCCTGCCTGAAAGGCTGCACGAGTCACTGCAATGATTAAACCCGTCAGCTGTCATAGGATGGCTTCAATCAAAAACAATAAGCCAACAAAAACAGCAAACATACGCTAAACATCATGCTAAATCTTAAATAACTAAATATAAATACTCAATTCCAGGGCACTTCCACATGACAGCAGTGGTTGATATAACAAAATACATTTACTTTGTTACTGTACTTCAGTACTTTTTTCATGTATCTGTACTTTATTTTCAGGTTCTTTTCACTTTTACTTCCCTACATAAAGTAAAATGTTGACTATTTCCTCCACCACTGCATGACGGGGATATAAGCTTGATGGGGAGGAGAGCCAGTTTCTATAACCACTTCTCACTGCATGTCTCTTTTGTATGCTCCGAGCTGGCAGTCCGCTGGCTGACCATGTTAGCTGTGACCCTGGGGTATGGCAGATAAGTTTGCTACTTAGCAAAAGCTTCCCAGAGCCACGGCTCTCATGTCTGTGTTACAACTACAGGTAACAGCCAAATCTGACGGAGCCCCACCAACACCCAGGCCCATAAACTCTGTGCAGCTCGTGGAAACAAGCACCAGATGATGGTGATTACTGGCTGACATCACGCGGCAGAAATTAGCCTTTTGCATCCACATACTGTCACGCCTGAGAGACACGGATCAGATAACACTGCCACATCAGTCCATCTGAGCTGCGACGGTGTGTGCATTCTGAAATCTGAATTATGTCCCTGCACAGTAATGAAAAAGGCACAGTAAGAGGAATGGATTTCCTCACTATGGAATAAATAACCTGGCAGGAAAATAATATGCCTGTGTGCATCCAATAATCTATCCTCACCCTGCATGTTAACCACTCCCCCATCTTCTCCTCCTCCCCTGCCCGAGCCTTAAGCTGGGGGAGCTGCACTGACGGGCCCACACTGTTTGCTCACAAACACTCCGTTCAGCAGGTTAGGGCCCCACTGATGAATTATTCAAGCGTTTCCATCAGCTCTGTTGAGGTTCCTGATAAAAGTCAGGCGCTAAAATGGATCAGTCGATTAACCTGTTTACACAGAGCTGGGCTGTCGCCCCTCCCCCAGCTCTATTCTTCAACTTGTCTCCAGCTCCCATCCCCCTCCCCTTCCCCTCTGGTTGGCGATAAGTGCCTGACAGAAGCTATCACAGCAGCCAGAGCCCTGACAGACATGTGGCAGTGTGACACAGGGCCTAGACACTGATGGATCACCCTCCCGCACCAATCCACCATGCCCCGAATTCTGTCCTCAGCCAAGCTGGGCTGTCACAAGACAAGGGACCGCCTCGCTGGTTTAAGAGCAGCGTGCATGGGAATCTCAGGATTACACATTCATACGATCTTTATCTCTTCAAGCATCGGTGTGATTGATCTGTGGAGCAATCCCAGATAGGATCTTTTGATGGAGATAAGAGCATAATAAGGGACAAAAGGACTTTTGCCCTGCTCTTGTAATTACTGTTCATTTTAAAAACAGGAGACCTATCAGCAATCCTCTCCTTTTAATCATGAAGTCAAAGGCCAAGCCTGCCAAAGTCTACCTTTAATCTTATCAAAAGGCTGAGACAAATCCTGTCTTTACACCACTCGCAAACTTCAAAAAGGTCTCAGGAATTATACAAGTGGTGATTCTGCCTTGTTTGTTTGCAGCAGCTCCACCTGTTCACAGCCTATTACCAATACTCTGCTCAAATCAGTTCACAGCCAGTAAGCAGCTCCTCCTGGGTCTCGCATCCCCTGACGCTGTGGAAAACCAACGAGCTGAAAAATATGAGGAGCATGATGGTACCTACCTGTTTGTGCATCTCTATGTTGAGCCCGTAGGACATCTCATAATACTGGAATGAAAACAAAGATGTCATTGTGATTAACAGAGTTGACATTTACAAACAGGTTGTTCAAATGTTTTCTTTCTAAAAACAAAAATATTCACATAAAAGTGGCTTTTGTTTTTCTTTTTAAACCCAAGATTTCAAAATAAACAAATCAATATTTTTATTGATCGCTACACTGATTACATCACCCCATGGTTTTAATATAATCCATCTCCTGTGAGCAGATGTGATAAACTACAATCAGACAAAACAGGAGTTCTTTGAGCAGCTGACAGCGAATATCCAATAAATGGATATTTTCTCTTTTTTTGTTTATTGGGTGGGCACAGAGAAGAAGGGCCCTGATTTATTGATCACCATCTTAAGCTCTCAGATCTCCAGGATGTCTGTTTACTTAGCGTAACACGATTGCTCAACACTTGATATTTCAGGCCAGGTCAGTCTGTCTGGCTGAAATGTAATCCGTGGAGCCCACAAGTGGCAGCCAGGGCAGAAATGGCTTTCCAGTCAGCGTCTATTTGATGAGGCCAATGCATTATTCAGTCCATTAGCTTCTTCGAAAATTACTCTCAAACAAGAGAGCCATTCTGTCTGAGATCAGAGCCCCACAGCCGTGGCGTAACCTGACACCTGGTGCTGGCTGTGGGATACTTTCCTACATGTTTACCTAACCTCTTCTCTGTCAGGCTGACATGTTGTTTTCCTGTGAAAAGAATGTTTAACTTAAGCCTGCGTCTATTGGTTTAAGTCATCCCTGGTGTGTTTACCTGGGACAACAGAGTGCGCTGCCACTGAACAACCTCCTGCGTCACGTCTGAACAGAATTCCTGCATCATAGGCACACCTATGTTTTTCTAAACTGGTAATAAATTAAAAGGGATACTAATTAAGGTTTCCACAATATCTGACTTAGACTTCTAGCAAAATAACCTGCAGCGTTTTCCTGTGTCCTCCATTTTGTTTGCTGTGGTGCATTTTCCCACACACTGCTCTGGCCCTCCACCATCAGCTCACACCTAATTTATGGCCGTGCATATGTCTGAGCGTGTCTCCTAGGAGAATAATCAGATCAGCACACACAGAGGGCAACGCTGCAGTCGACCCTTGGAGATCAGGGGCACGCTATAATGGAGCCGCAGCCCACAGCCGCCTGCCTGTCAGGAAGAGATCCCCCGTAACAACCACCTACATCAAACCCCCCTCCCCCCTGGGGGCCTTCACAGGTCTGTACCTGACACTCAGCCCGCCCTAACCACACAGGTGATCACAATAGTCTGTCTCACTCCACCCCGACTAGATCTTCAACAAGCCATAATTGCTCCCTATTGTAACATAATCTTACCATGACATAGTGGCGTTGCATCTCCGTCTTCTCATTGGCCAGTTTGTCATACTCCACCTTGAGACTAAAATAGAAGACAAGGTGTCAATTTCAGGCTTCTCTATCACTTCAATAACACACACACTTAACCACTTGACAGCAGTGTATGGAAGGGAAAAAATGTCATTTTTCTCGTTCCTGCAGACGTCAGAAAAACAAATGTCGTCCTTTAATATTCAACAGTCAGTGTCGACTCTGTCTTTCTCTGGTGATGTTCTCTGTAATCATTACCTGTGATATTGGGCTTGCAGGAACTGAAATTCATCTTTAATCCTGTCACAAGACTCTGCTACGGTGAATTTGAAGCCAGGCTGACCGGGCTGATGTGGAGGCTGTAAGAAGGATGTTAAAAGACAAAAAAAAAGAAGGATAAATCACATCGATGAGTCCAGTACTAGTAGGAGGACGTATTCATCATCTCAGCTCTCACATTAGATGCACTTTCAAGATCACATCTCCCCTGCAGTTAAGCAAGACACTCTGAGCAGGTGGGTCTGCCTCACACCTCCACGAGCTAATAGCATGACACAGAAAGGCTTTCACTGGAGAAGAATAATGTGAAACCCACTTTCAACAAAAATGTATTGCAACCCACCACCTGTCTCCATATATTCAGCAGTCATATGTTAGTGCACGGCTGAGTAAACATCTCCAGGCGTGCAAAACCATCTGCATCCATTTACCACTAAGTGCGTGTTCTGATGTAGCATAAACGCATCATAATATGACCATATAGAAATCTGATGAGCTGCATTATGAGGGTGGAGAAATATGCTTGCATGGAGGGGGGGGGGGGGGGGGGGGGGGGGGGTGCAGATCCAGCACAGCCAGGAGCCATGTCAACAACATCATGCGTTGTCACATCAACATGTAAAAGCTCATATAGTGAAGTATACAGAGGAAGAGCTTACCGGATGTCGGCCTTGTGGATACATCTTGTGGGGGGGAAATAAAAACCCTCTCCTTTGTTTATGTCTCCAGTGTGCAGGTCGTTTTGGGGAAAGATGGGTTTTCAGATGTGCTCAGAGAGAGGGGGTGGTGGGGGGCAGGGGAGGTCGAGAAAATCCTGTGTTGGAAAAAATGACGCGGTTTAATAATAACATTGAATCAAAAAATACAATTTATAATAATAAAAATAAAAAAACAATAAATAATAATAAATAGTCCGAGCAACAAACTGGTTATTATGAGGGGGGGGGGGGTTAAAAAGCAGCACTTGTTAGTCCTTGATGACCTTAAACCGAAGCTCTGAATACAACAAAAAGAAGCTTCACACATTTTAAACCACGAAGAATTCACACACACGCACAGAGGCTTCCACTTTTCGACGTTAAACCCGCTCCCCTGTGACTCAAGTCTTCCCCGTCACCCAAGCACAGCCCCCCGGGTGTACAGGACGTCCACGGGCCGGTCGGAGCCGCGGAGCGAGCGATGGAAACCGGCCACATCCGCTCCCCCTTCCTCCCTCAAATAAAAACACGCAGAAAGGAGAAATCAACAGCTACGTACCCGCGCGCGCTGATCGTCCGTCCGACTTTTTTGTATTCCTGAAGAAGAAGGCAAACAGCAGAGCCGGCTGTAATTCATGCATTTAATCCAACGTGAGCGAGCTGGATCCAGACAAGCATCCTCTCCCTCTCCGGAGCGCACCCGGGCCACACTGGCGGAGGGGAACGTTGGCGCGGTCGTGCTCGAATAAACTACTTTCTACCTCCGAGGAATGTGCGCCTCTCTGTCGCTGCTTAATCCCGCAGAAAAGAGGAGGAAGAAAATCGGAAAGTACGCCTCCAGAATCCTGTCTTCCGACTGGAGCGGGCTCGGTGGATTCTTTAAAAGCGTAACACGGTCCTCTCCACGATCTCGCGTTTCCCCCCCTCGGTCGTCCAGCTTTACTCCGGTTGCCACACACAGGCACAAGGCGAGGAAGGGGCCGAGCTGCCCGTGAAAGCGGCGCGATCCGTCCAATCGGATTACTGCGGAGGGAGCCCGGTCACGTCTGCCTATCGGAGAGCGACGGCCCCCACGTGGGGCGCGAGGAGGCATGACATCATCCGCGCACGGATCCACAAGGCGGCGGCATCATCATCATCCTCCTCCTCCTCACCCTCCTCTTCCTCCGTGTCCGACAACAACAACAACATGGATGTGCCGGTGGTGGAGTCTGAAATCTGACAAATGCCACATCCAAGCTTCGTCTGTGTGTTGTCTTTTAAAGTTGATTTCATTGAAGGGGGGGCACCACCAGTGGGACGGGGGAGGAGGGGGTGTGTGTGCGTGTGTGCAACAACCTTACTTCAATTTGTATCTCCATACAAGGAAGCAGGGGTGTGTGTGTGTGTGTTATTCTGTGCAACGTTGTTATAAAACGTGTAAAAACAATGATCGGGTTTAACTTCCCCTCGTCGCACCGTGAAGGACACGATCCCGACCAATCGATCGTCGATAACCTCCGTGTTGACGCGACGTGAGGGACTCCACGTGTTTGTCTCTGTTCGAGTCCCCCCCGCCGGCATGCGTGAGCGGCGGCTGCAGTGCGGGGCCCGGGAGAGCAGAGAGGAGCTGCTGGTCTGATATGAACGTATGATCATATGAACATGTGAACATGTGAACATCAGCCATGTCTGAGCCTCCTTCTCCAGCTTCCGCCTCTCTGCCCCCACGTGGGACCACGCTGCGGCTTTAAGGCGCCTCGTCCAATGGCGGCGCGCTGCACTTACTCGCCGGACGCCCATTGGTCCCGGCGCGTCGGGCCTGTCATTCACGCGGCGGCGTTGTCAATCAATACCACGCGGGGTCAAGCGCTGACAAATGCCGGTGCTCCTCTCGGTGCTCCTCCGCTGCTCCACAGCTCCAGATCCGGGGATGGCTGCTTCATTAGCTCCGAATGGCTTTTCTCTGCAGCTCCAGCAATCTGTTAGCACCACGTGGTAATGAGAGCCTCCGTGAAACAAAGGGAGGAAGAGACGCAGCTTCACAACCTGGAGTTTCTTTACATGTGGACCCGAGACACGACAACACACGAGACAGATCCTGTCCCCCAGCACTTCCAACAGGCTGTGGTCCAACATCAGAGCACGGACCTGACAGTAATGCTGCTGTAGCCCTGCTTACTGTGCACGTCATGTTGTGGGTATAATAGAACCAAATATATGTTCATTTCATATTGTATACTAATGTGAACATCCCCATTTATATACAGTCAGGTATTTTTTTTGACACAAACAAGTAAAACATTTCAGACCAAACACAAAAAGCAGTTGAGTTTTAAAGTCATTCATTTTGTATACCATACATATACGTACAACAGTCTATATATGCATATGGATACACGAGGTGTATATTACGCACGTATTCCCTGTATTTTTATTTTTAAATTATTTTGTCTGCCTCATTCTTACAAACTGCTGCTTTAACAGGTGAATTTCCCCGGTGTGGGATCAATAAAGTTCAATCAAATTTTTAATCACAAAAATTTGGGGGCAAATTTCATATTTAGAATTGAGCTGTGCAGTTCACAGTATAAATCATGTATTGTAATAGGAAAAAAGTTGTAGCCTGCTTATATTACCCACAACCCCAAAGAGCTGAGCACACCACCAACCTAGAAAATATGGCTACACTATGCTGTATGGATGACTGAAGTGCTTCGACAATCAAATAACACACGTACTTGTATTTATCATGGACACAACAGAAGCTATTTAAATCTGAATATGTTGTTTGATACCCTGTAAAAGAAAAGAAAAGCGGCATCAGATGCTGAATAATTATATTATCTCCAGTAATTATATAAATCTAATATATATATTAATATAAATCACCCATTCAAAGATGCTATATTAGCGAGAGAGGAGACATGCAAGAGTCTTTACACATGTTTAAGATGTAATCTTATACAAAACCAAACTTAATTACAGCCTTGCCCATTAAGCATGATTAAATCAGCGACATAAGTCTGGTCTGCAGTGCAAGGCCTGTAGAGTATAACAAACAGACATATACGCATAAATAAGATCATTTATTACATCTTTGTAATAAAAAAGTCATTTTCACATCATTAAAATGGTTCAATGCTGCAAACAGGGTTCAGTATTTAGCAGGAAGTCATGTGTATCACTGCCTCAATGGCCAGACTCCAGAATACTTAATGGTCTTTCAGTGTTCTTCAAAAAGTACAAGACTAGACTTGGTTAAAGCTCAGTCAAATTCGATATAGCTCTTTTGGATATAAATCTTTTCAGTATGTAGATGCTTTAAACTGAAACAGCATAATTTTTATGTGAAACACATTGTTTTCTTTGCTTTGTATGCTACATATGCTTTGTTTTATTTTGTCGTTCTCATGCATATGTTTCATTAAAATCACGTTATTCCCTCTCCTCTTCCTGTTTTTAAAATCTGTGGTTGTGATTTTCTTAATTATGTGTGGTTTTGTCTTATGATAAAAACAAATACCCAACCAATTATGTGACTTAAATAACCGGCTCTGTTTCACACCGAGTGTAGCAGCATCTGTTTGGGAATGCTGAGGTCATTTGAGTCATGTTAAGGTCTGAGATTGCCCAGCAGTGGTCTTACTTGTCATTCTTGTCAGCCACCTCAAGGATGTGGGATAACTGTGTTATTTCCAAAAGTACGGAGGCAGTCTGTGAGAAACTCAAGCACACACAAGAGCTGGCAGGCTAATCTCAGCCAGGCACCCCCTCATGCTTTTCAATGGAGAGTGCTTGGATTAAAGGCAACAAAGGCCACGCCAAACCCCAGGAGGAGGAGGCCCTCCGCCCACCGAGACCCCCACACTGTTTATTTACACGGAAACCCCAGCCTCAGTGAAACTCCCCCCCTCAGGCATTACACACTGGCCTATTTGCAGAGGTGGCTCTAATTCTTGACAGAGCAGGGATTGTCCTGCCACTTTGAACTGAGCAGCAACTTACTTTCCACATTGCTCACATAAAGCAAGAAAACAAAAATTCTACTTCTTCCACAGAACAATTACTGTGAGGGCATATTGTCCAAAAGTATCTATCCGCATGTATTTCTTAGGCAGCATCCACACAAGCCTACTTTATTTCCATTTAAAAAATGCAACGACTCTGCTACAAATGCTATGCATCCACACAACTCTGGAGTTTTAGAGCCGCTAAAACAGACAAGTTCTAGACGAGACACTCATATCTGCTTGCTGATTGGGTCTTTTTGGTCAGAACATAGTCTTTGCTGATTCGTCAGGCTCCTATCACATGACCCCCTTCCTGAAGAAAACAACTGGTACTGTGTTGAAAGAAACATGGATAATCAATTACAAGCATTGTTTACCCTGTTGTTGTGTGATAAATCTTACATTTTACTATGATACAACTGCTTACATGTGTATGAAACCTGCTATTATTCAAGCAATCTGCGACAATTGTGCAACTAACAACCGAATGCTTCCTGTTTACACCAGTAGGAGCAAGCCTACGCATGTGAACTTTCATGTAATATGCGTTTTCAGGTGTATTAGTATGGACAGGGATGAAAACTGATACAGATCCAAAAAGCTTGTGTGGACAGAAATCGTTTTAGATTGGAAATAAACTAAACATAGTAGTATGTATGTAGCCTTATGTAAAATTGGCATTGCTCCACTTGGGTGTACTGTTTGGTATTTGTCTCTCTTGTGCAGCCTCACTTTCCCGTTCACGAAGCAGAAAATGAGGGCCCTGTTACTGCAAAGGCCGGGGTCTGTGTTGCCAATGACTTACACGTCACTGTGCTGGCATTCTGTTTGTATGGAGATGCACAGAGACGCATTGCATTCACAAACAAACATACACAAGCTGTGTATTGCAGGCACGTCATTCACAAGCAGGAGGCAGAAATCCGCAACACACTCACACACACACACAGAAACACTTCAACACACACACAGACGCACACAAACTGGCACCCACATTCCATGCAACAAAGGGCTCACAGTGTGCTGGAAAGATGAATTGCCGGCACTGTGTTATCAGGATGACTCATCAGACAGTAATCAATGAAAACAGGATGAAAGTCCTTATCAAAGGAGAAAAATGCAGACATGAAGTGTGTCTCAAAACAAAAAGAAGAGGAGGCTTTTGACACGTTTGGATGAGGAGGACATGGAGCCAAATGCTACTCAATTAATATTCTTAGTTATCAGCAGTCTATCACTGATAGAAATAAGAACAGGCATTAAAACACAAAGCTCAGCCTGGAAGTGGTTGGTTTTGTAAAATTACATTTTATTGGGGTTTTCAACAACATGTGGCAGTGGATCAAATATGACAATGTAGAATATAAACCTAAATTAATGACCTACTTAAAGGAGCAGTGTGGAGGATATAGGGGCTGCACGATGTTCACTTACAGCTACGAATTATTGTGTATTCCTTAGCCTAGAATGAGGCCTTTATATCAACATCAGAAGCAGGTCCTTGTTCACGGAGTCTGCCATATGCTCCTCCATGTTTCTACGGCAGCCCACAATAGACAAACTAAACACTGGCTCTAGAGAGGGACTTCATGTTTTTATGGTACCTGCAGGCCACCATAGTTTCTCCTACATGCTTAGAAAGGGAGGGTGAGGTGAGCAGTATTTAATTGGTTGCAATATACAACTTCACGGCTCGATGCCACTATATCCTACACACTGGACTTGGAAATTGAATTTTGATTGGGTACCACTTCTGACACACCCACCAAATGGTAAAACAAATACTCCCAGTTTCACAATGTTTAGTGGAAAAATGTAGTTCAACCTTCAAACCGTAGAACGCTGCGCACCGTTCTGGATTGAACATGTTGGATTTGCTCGTTCTTTTTTTGAAGAAAGTCCATGTGTAATACTGACGCTGTGATAGCAAATTCAACAGACCTCTCCACACCAGCGGCAGCCATCTGCAAGAGAGAAAAAACATGTGCTAGCTGATTGGTCTGGTTTCCAGGCTAATTACATGTACTATKKGCCCATCTGCCAAGCTCTTTAAACTGGCTGATGAAATCGACAGCACATTGTAAACAAACACAAAGTTTACATGTCAATTAAAAAGGCTCAGGTTAACAATAAAACTGTCCTCGGCATTAATTGACTGTAAACACATCCATGCTTGAGTAAACATGACGTCCTCAGCTTTCTATAAAGTTTAGGGATATAGAATTAAACTCTGGATGAATTCACCACATTACTCTTCAGGTAAGTCCATACAAATAAACAATGTTGATACAGAGGTCTAAAATAAAACTAGAAAACCTCATAATGTCTGCTCTGTATTCAACCAGTAATACCTCTCACTGCTAAACCAGCAGGACTCGATGATAACAGCTGTTATACAAACACTTATGTCTCACACTAAGTTGTGGTCTTGCTCTGTTGTCGTTGTTCTGTGGATCTGGTTTTTCAGACATCTTATCCAGTCTACTTTCAGAGGCTGAAGTTGATTTTTTCACTCACCCTCAAGAATAATAATCAAGAATCAGAATGACCACAGTGGAAGCTTGTTCAACATACCCTTAGCTCAGGAAATGCATAGCTGCATGATTTTTGTTTTGATAACAAACTGCAGATTACAGCTATCTATATGTGCTAGAGGCTAACAGCTAGCCTGTCTACTGATTTTTTTTCCTAACTGACAATCTCCCTCTGGGTCTGAGCCATAGTCCATCACACAAAAAACTCTGCAATAGAGTCAGCATTAGAGTGATCAGAGGATCAAGTGGTACCAGTTGATTGAAAAGGCCTTGAGCTGCACAACAAAGATTTTGTTACCCTGATTCAGTTTGCTAAATGGCTAATGTGATTAAAAAGATTCTTTGGGCCTAAATTCAGTTATGGTTGGTGATTACATTCACATGGCAGGGGAATGACTTCACATGACTGTCTAGAAAAAGAAATGATGTTGTCAAGGTAACAGCCCATGCACGAAAAAGCACAATTGCTACTGAGGTCAGAGTCTGTGAATTGCTTGGCTGAGTGTCTCACGAGGGTGAATGTTATATTCACTTACATCAAACGGAGATATACCAGAGAAGGACAGGGCGCAACCTCAACAGCGATAGACGTTATGAAGCAGCTTTACAGAAGTGAGTGCTAAGCTGAATTCATCACAGTGTAATGAATGGTAAACAGAGCCTTTTAACTAGCTGCGTAATGACAATGTGAGCTGTGTAGTATCTCAGAAATCTCCTTATGAGACCGCAGACTTCTGTACTCATATACTGCATTTCACCACTTCTGGCTCACTGAGGAGCATTTCATATTCCCTGGCACACAGTAATATAGCTCCGCTCCTCCATGCCAAATTGACTCCACAAGTGCTCCTATACCTGCTGACCGACACATGATTCCTTCACCCAGCAGCCAGCATTTCTGCTTGCTCTGGAGGGGTACTTGATTCCATTATTAAGTTGAAAAAGAGAGACAGAGCGCAGGGATGGTGGAGAGAAGGGAAAAAAAGAGAGGAAGCTTGACTGAGTAGAGAAGAATAATAGAAAGCTGAGGAAGTTATCAGGCCAGGGGAGTGAGGCTGCTGTCTGACAGCAGATCAGAGAGCTCCTCCAGCTGGAACCCCTCCTCATGAGCCCGCCCGCCCGCCCAGCAGAGCAGAGCCCAGCAGTCAACGGGGATGATGAGCTCTATACTGTAGCCTACAGGACAGGTCAGGGCAGCACCTATACTGCAGCACACATCAGCTCCACAACACTTCACTTCACCACTGGTCCTCAAATATTCTAATTCATTATTAGGCAATGGCCTTCGACTTTGACTACTGTATTCAAGCACAATTTTGCAATATATGCACCTTATTCTAGTGTAAACTACTCCACTATAGTTGACAGGTTTAATTACAAAGCAGGTTCATAGGGTACAGTGAACATGTGGATGTCCTTTATAAAATACAACACATTGTTGAATCTTCAATAAGTTGTTTCCAACCTTTTTGGCTTGTAACCTCTTATCAACGAGTTCTCAGCACTTATACTGAAAAGTGATTTATTTTCTGAACTCCACAGATGATTTCTTGTTAATAACCATTAACCATTTCAGTTTCAGGTAATGTTATTCAAGGTTAAGTTTAAGGTAAAGTTATAAAATAAGATTTTGTCTAAAAAGTCTAAAAAACCTTCTTGAAAACATGTAAAGTAGTTAAGACCAGCTCCACCTTGACCAGCTACAACTTTAAAATGCTTGTTATGCATTTAAACCATAAAGAGATTGGTATTAACAGCCAGTCGGATCTTTTCCTGCAGAATGGAGACTTTGACCTTTTATTTTATCGGCTGATGATACATCTGCATGTTTCCTCATGTAAAGGTTTGAATAGAGGACACTTACTTGTTGTGGAGTTTTACATTGCTGTTTTGGCTCTTTTACATTAGTAAAGATCTGTACTTACTAAATTATATAATACAATATATTACATAACTGATGCTTTGGTCTAGTAAGTTATTGTTGCATTTGGTTGATATAACTACTGTATATACTGTTGATTATCTATAACAATTTGTAAAGTACCAGAAAATCTCAATACTCAAGTAAAAGTACCACAAAACTGTAATTAAAGTAAAGATACAATCATTGTTTACCAGTCATCAGCTTTCATATTAGTAAACAGTTTGAGAATCAATATCATATCCACATCTTCATTGTAATTGATTTTACAGGTGCAAATATTCCCGTGAATATTGATATCATTGTGTTTTTCTTCCCTAAACAAGGACACAAAAGGGTTAAGGAATTATGGCGACAGAAGCCCTGAGAGAGAAAGCGAGACCAAATCAACAAATTAATGTCTGTCCTATGAGAGGCTAAGCCTCTTATTTTTATTTCAAATGAGGATAGAAATTGACTTCCTTATTAAATCTAATTATTAGCCAGTGCCCTCCAAAAGTCTTCAGAAATCGCCTGGAGCGGCCAGGCTATTAGCATAAACACCACCACTGGCAAGCTTAAAACAAATGGTATATTTAGTCAGTGTTAATGGGATTAAAGTATGCTGGATTCAGGAGCAGTTCTACTAACAGTGAGCATCACATCTTCATTATGGATGCCCTGACTTCATCATTTCCACTCTCTTTGTTTGCATTTCAATTCACTCTGCTGCCTCTCGCTCCTCTCAGTTATTCAACAGATTGTGTTAAATCTTGATCCAAAAATCCCAGACAATCATAAATAATAAAGGATTACACCAATCTCTGAAAAGCTGGTGGCACGCCAGCGGCAACGCACACAGAGAAATAATTGTTGGCCATCTGTGCAGCAGACTGGTAAGAGAAAGGGTAAACAAAGAGCACAGCGTACCTGCCGAAGCTTCTTCCCATTCCCTGTCTATGCCTTTAGCCGGGGAACATAAAAAGCTTTGATGATGCTTGCCCCTGCACTGGCTTGCTCCAAAAGAGTTTTTGATTAGGGAGGTTTCAGAACCACAGACTGACAAGCCGTGCCTGTCAGGAATCTAACAAGGCTTGGGGTTATCTCTCTATCAGCAGCCAAACAGCGCTGTGAAAACTGCACTAAAGATGGAGGATAATTGACCACGCAAACGATCACATTTACATGTCATATACACAGCTCTCATGAAAAGAAAGTGAAGTCATGAAAGCTTAGCCTCTGCTGTCTCATAAATCACTCCTCTGTGGGCTGAGATTGGATTTACTGGCCCAGTTTTACTTCGAGCTCTGCCAGAACCAGCGCTGGGGCTGCAAACACCTACACAGAGCATCGCACATCCTTATTAGGAGAAAATTGATCTGAGCAGCAGTCAGTCAATGCATTTTGATGTGAGCTGTAAAGTTAATCACGGTATGCTTTAGATTTGTGGGTCAGAGTATAAATCAATGAGATGGATTTCACACACATGATGGATTTCTGCCATCTATTCAACAGCATGATTGACACCAATTGACTTTCTTATGACTCAGACTCATTTGGTATGAACCGTCACATTTACTGTTTGGATAATACTCGCCAACTGTTGGATTATTCCACCTAAAGAGACACACAGTCACAGCTGTTTGCACCTTCTACTGGGACACTAAAACAAAAGCCTATATTTGCCTCACAGTCTGTGCAGGGAGTGAAAAATGACCTTACGCCTTGCCATCCATCCTGAGTGGAGGGCCCTCATTATGGTGTGGGATTTATATATGTATATATGGCGACAGATAGATAGAGATAAATAGTGTTGGATTCTGGAGCAGGGAGGAAACAAAAGATAGGGCAGAGTCATAATGAGCTGTGTTTATGTGCAGTGTTGCTTGGCCTGTTGACAGCGGTTAATGAAGTTACAGTTAGTGGGGGGATCTGCTGGCACTAATTAAACTCCCTGTCATTAGCAGTGCTGGAAGGAGGAGGCGCTGCAGCAGGAGTAGGAGGAGCGGACACAGGCAGATCCACCAGAACAGACACAAACATGAGCTATACATTATGGGATGAGGGGGATTAGCTCTATAACTTCATTGTATACAGGCAATCCCTGATTTAGCATTTAACAGAGGCTACAGTCTTTTTCAGCAAAAAAGAACAATATTTTATATATATATATATATATATATAGAGTATATGTATGTATGAGGGTTAAACATAGTATACAATAATTTATAGTAAGTGTATAAAGATATGATGTTAACACACTATGTATAAAACAGCAGAAACAGGAAATATTTTACACCTAACTGAGCCTACAGTGTAGATTAGCTGCCGTAGAAGCCACATCTCTGACATCTGGAAATGTTGCCGTTACCACTGAACTGTTAGAGAGTGGAAGAGAGCTCGATTGACTGTCACAGAGTCTGAGTGGAGCTCAGTGTGTGTGCCATCTTAACCACAGCTCCATCGTAGCCTGTAATCCAACTCACCACCAAAGCCACCGGTGTTGGCTGCCGGCGCAGACCGAGGCTCTCTGTTTGTTTATGCAGCGCATAGACCCGGCCATTAAAAGTGGGAATCCTGTCAAAAATAAAAAGAGACTTTTCATGTTTGAGGGCTGCAATTGTGGCTCTTGTGTGATGTTTTTCCTCCACACTGACCCCTTGCTTTGAGGTCAGGAAGCCGCTTAACCCTGGGCTGTGGAGCCCACCGATTGGCTCGGCCAAACACAGCATTTTTTGAATGTGGTGGCGTTGTGGGTGCCTCTGGCAGAGGCACTGTGGTTGTGTGCAGTGACTCCGGCTGTGTAACCAAGACAGCCTACACATCATTATAATGGATCCTCAGGCAAAGAAGCCAAATATCCTTCATAAATGTGCACATCATTTCCCTCATTATATCCTAGTTACCTTTGCTCATGTTTCCCAAACCTCACTACGAGGTGAAGTCAACCATGCAGCAAGTCAAGCTGAGAAAAGTTTGTGTATCACACCATTGCCAAAATAAAGCTATAGCAAAATTCTAGCACTGAAACACTTAAATAATCAGCGTAAATACCTCTCAACAACACACCCACATATACAGAAGCTGCTTACAAATGATACAAGCTGTTTAAAATAGCTATTCCCTGCTCGCAGTCATTCAAATACTAAAGCAGAATAGGGAGAATGTGGAAATTTGCTATGTAGTTAACTTGCGACAGCCACCAATTAGGTTTATGATTCGGGCGCCTTTGGGCCACTGTCGCCAGGCCTCAGTCTCCCTCTGATGTCATTACACAAATCAGCTGCAGTCTGACAGAGCAACAGGGCTGCAGGACACAGGGGGAGAAGGACAAGGAAAGTTGGCTCGGCTCCTCTCCTCTGATAGCATCAGATAAGCCGGCCTTAGGGCCTCTTATCTCATCTGTGGATCCTGTGTAAATGTAAGTTTTAGTCTGGCAGATTACATCAGCAGAGCCTGCTGGGGACAGAGGCCGGCCGCTGGGGGACCATGATGACTCCCTTCATGCGACAAATGCATCCTCTCCACCCTTCATGGACTAACAAAGCAGGACTGGGCTGTATTGTGGGAGACGGCTCCTCTCAGCCAGTTAAAGTGAGTCCCCAGAGGAACTGGAATTAAAACTGTCAGCTTCCATTTAGTCCAAAACGCTCACCCTATAGCATTTGTTGTCACTGTCAGCTGCACACTGCGTGCACTGATAGTGATATTAGAGGACAGTGTGCCTCACTTTGGATAAATGTCTGTATTACAGCATTGCGGAGGTGTGTGTGCTGACAGGAAAGAGCCGACCAGCTGACAGGGGACTGGCCCTCTGTGGTCCAGAGGCCACAAAGGTGCCATGTGACTGTGAGAGGTTCATTTTAGGATACATAAACACACCCTCCCTGTTTGTCTAAACATCACTCTATCCGTCTACTGTACAGCACATTCCAGCCAGACAGACAGACAGGCCACATCTGGGGAGCAAGCGATGGAGGTCCATCCCCCTTCCTTCTTCTCTCCCTGCTCCCAGCGTCTGTCATCCCACCCAGAGAGGGGAAGTGGTGAGGTTGAAGTGGTTGGCCAGACAGGGGCAGCTGTGTGACCACAGACCTCTGAGTGTGTGCATGTGGGAGGGAGGGCGGGATCCATTGGCCTTATTACAGACCCAGCTACATACTGGGCCTCACAAACAGCTGCTCTTCAGCCAGCAGCAGCCTCCGAGCAGCAGCAACAACACTGCAGGATTTGTACTGTGACAGCACTAGAGTAAATGCATGTGTGCTACAATCAATCAAACACATATCTACAGTAGTAACCAATGTTTTGAATGCATACTTAACAGCATGGCTGGTTCATTTCTTGATGGAACAAGAAAAATAAACAGTATCATTTCTGTTTCTTAGACAAATTCCAGACATTAAGTCAGTGAAATGACAAAAACACTCAGATGATACAGATGTTAAGTAACCCTGGCAGTTTTGGGGGGAATGTGTTTTACCACAGACTGCTGCCAACTCTTATCAGCTGAGAGTGACTGTTGCTGACTGCACGGTCAGCTGGATCACAGGACGTAGGGTCTCATAGTGATGATGTCACTGTTTTTTCCTTGGTCCCCAGGGCGGTGATTTATGAGCTAATCTGGGTCTGTCTCCCCAGATTCCAGGTCTTTGTCTCCCTGGGGGGCTGCTAATGGGACAGTGGGATGGAGCCACCATGCAGCAGAAGTCCTCTCAGCTCACAGCACATGACATCCATCTTCATGATCACACACCGAATGAAAAAAGAAAAAAGAAAAAAAGAAATAGAACAATGTTGACTTCATATTGTGGTGCACACAGATGCACACATACACTTGCAGGCATGCACACAAATGCACACAGCCCAATACACACACACGCACAGAAGCAAATACAGAATAAATTAAGTATTGCATATATAACCTTGGCTATTTGCAATTTGTCATGCAACCCGAGAAAGATAATTGAGGCAACCTCCCAGTATGCAAATAGAATGATAATCAGCCTGAGCCACTCTACCAAACACATATGCACAGAAAAAAACTGTTACATTGTTAGCAATTTCTAATAGAGGACACCTATTGACCCATTTTCTCTTGAAAAGCAATTTGTCCCTCCAAAATAAAACTAATAGGTGGCAAGATGAATGGATTAGAGTGGGCTAGACTGGGTGCACCGTGCCACGAGGCACTAAATCACCAGATTATTAGTTTTATGAGCCGAGCCCATGAGAGAATAATTGCTAATGTTCCCAGAGTAACCAAGGGAAATAAAGGTAATGGAGCAATTTATAAATTCTGATTGGTATACATAGGGAACTTCCAGCCCATCTCCTTTGTTATTTTACTGCTCTCGATAAAATACGCCCCAAGCCACACAAACACTCGGGCCGGCTATCAAAATCAATACAATCACACAGAAGTGCGAGTGCTGCCTCTGCTCCTTTGTTATTTTTAGAGCAATGCAGCTTGACTTGCAGTTATAAATCAAAATAATGTAAAAAGGAGGAAGAAAAAAGCACCAATATTACGTTCCATCTCTTAACTTTATTTAGCCTTTCTGGGAGACATATGCATGATGCTTCACCCATACAACACACTCTGCACAGGGTAGTACTGATGACGGAGACAAGCTTTGTCTAAAATCATACTTTGCAAGATCGTTGCACAAACAGACGGGAACGAGACAGGACGCTGACGTGGACAGGTGTTCTGTTTAATCCGCCCAGCACAGATGAAAAACCTTCCTTCACTCATCCTATTTTTGTAGCTGCACAACTTTCCATCACACAGAACCAAATCCCTAATTTCCACCTCTTCACAGCTCTCTTGATGTTTAAATTGCAAGTTACACAAAGTCCAGAACGTGGTCTGAAATGTTATGCAGATGTCGACCCTTCTCATGTGGTTCATGAAAGCGCAGATTTATCTGGTTAGACAGGCCTCGTTGCTTTGCGGCCGCAGCCTGACTGCGCCTCTTATGCGAGTCGAGCTGGGTGGTCTCAGCATCTTCACATGTCCATTTCTGGGGAGGGTAAACAGTGAGCGTATCCTGTTACAATCAACTCCTGTTGTTATGCTTTCAACACACCACGCAATTATAATTTCATTAAAGTCTCAACAAGACAGTTTTGCTGTTTAACCTAGACGTGCAGCCTCTACTGTAATTTGATCCACTGCTGTATTGAATTATACATTGAAGTCAAGGTGAGGTAACAATGCAGCTACATGGAGGCACAGCGCTGTGCTGTCGTATCGCCTCCCCCGCCCTGAGCTGCTCGTCTGTCGGTGCATCTGTGATAGATTTGCTCGACTGGAGTGTTTGCAGCTGAGCAGAACTGATGTCGTACCATATGCCGACACAGCACACATACATGCGTTTGCACGCACACACACACCTTTCAACAGCAGTGATGACACAAGCTATACTTCCCACCCACTTCTTGTTTTTCTGTGGTGAAACTGTGTTGCTCACTTTGTGTTTTCACTTCCTTGTCTAACAGGTATGAAGTAACACTGTGAACTGTAAGAGCACTATCTGTTCAGACATGTTGACTTAAGCTCAAGTCTCCTTTTTGTCAGTTTAACGGTTGTTCTTAATGGGAGGAATCAGCAGGGACAAGTCACCACCATCCTCACGCCAATGTGTGTGCATTTTTTTAAATCCAGACTTGTACATATACAGCATATTTGACATTCCATCGAAACTCCTGCCGACCCACAGAGAGTGTGTTTGTGGGTCAGATCATTCGTTTGTCACCACCTCACATTTCCTGTTATGAAATAGCATGATACCCGACACAACCTGATCTTAACAAACCATGAGGGGGTGTGAAGACTCAACTTAACTGAATTTTCTCTCCCTCTTGTTTTCATGCTGATACATTTTCTTCTGGCTTTATTGTAGCATTTAAATTGAAGCAGGTTTTAAAGTAATTCACCATCAACCTCAAATGTCAATTTAATTCCACACACAGCTTTCAAGAACCACTGACAGCAGGACGCGAGCTCAGACATGGAAATTGATTTTCCAAGGGATTGATTCCACCCCGGATCTTGCGCTGATCCACAGAGAAAGACGCAGTAATGACACATTCTGTGATCCCACAGTTTCTATACGATGTGGTTAGGTTTTATCCCAAATGCGACAAGGCCTGTAATAAATCTTGTCTTCTTTCCATCAGCTTGCCAGCAGCTGGGAGCCGTCAAGGGAAGCCACCCCAAGGAAAATGTTATTCCAGCTTGTTAGTGTTTGAAGTCGCAGCAAGCTGGGCTGCAGAAGCTGCTGCCTGTGGTTTATGGCTTGTAGGGTTGCTCAAGATATGGAGTCTCACTTTCCAAGTCAGGATGTCTCACAGCCATTGAAGCCACAACTGTAGCTGTGAGATAACGCAGGCACGTTGAGAAGAAAGGACTTTAGAGCAGACATGTGGTCTTGACTCAGTGAGTGACAACACTACAGTGTGTGTGCGTGCGTGTGTGTGCGTGCACATGTGCCTCAGTTCATGTTGTTTTTCCACATCCGCCCATCCGCCCACTGATGCAGAACTGCAACCCCTTGCTGCAACACTATTGCTTCCTCTTCTCTCTACTTGCTTTTATCCAAAAACATGCTGATTTTTACGAGTTTATACACTTGCCAGATTCTTGTATTCTTGCAAAAAACATTTCTTTGTTCTCCTTTTCTTTCCGACAATAAATTAATCAGGCACTCTTGACAAACTGAGGAAATGCATTTTTTTGTACTCACACAAACACAATGAATAATGGATAAAAATATGGATATGCAATTGTGCTTTTGTGCAAGAGAAAATTAAATATTTATATTTGACTATGAGGCCAATGAACCACACAGCTGCTTTGTTTTCTGAAATTCAATAATGTGTTGAAAATCTTGGCTCAGATCAGGGTCTCACTGATTAGAGAGCTTGTATTTCAACCACAACAGGTCAAAGGTCATCAGCCAGCCAGTGTATCCAGTCTGATATTTTTTCCTGTAATCCTTCACTGTTGCACTTTGACACTAATCCCTTACATTCCTTCACAGTCACAACCCTCAAACAAACTAGTGCTAACACTTCACAACACTTTTACTGCACAGTACGAGTGAAAATACAAATAATTTAGTGAAACACTGAAGTACAGAAGTATTATAAGCAAAATATAAATGATTAATATATTCAACTTATTATAGTATTTATCAATTAATGTGTGGGTAACTTTATAGAGGTAGTGGTGGTTAAGGTGCAACTCATCTACATTACTAGGTTGTTAAATCTCTATCAATACATCGTGTTTTATAGCCCATTAAATATTTGAAGATGCCGTGGAGTAACAGCTATAATATATAGACATGTAAAGTTACACAAAATAAAAGTACAATTACCGCAGAATTGTACTTTGATAAAGAAAAGCAAAACTCCTTTTATTTGTAATGATACAATATCTATTATTTATGCTTAAAAATGATTTTAAGGTGATCAAAGTAGTTTAATTATCAAAGTGACAAATTATATTAGCTCCATAACTTTAATAGGTTTGAATACCAATCACCCATTTGTGGACACAGTGGGATGAATTGTCTGAAGGGAAGAAGGGTGCAGGACGCAGGAGACAGTAAGAAAGTTTACTGTATGCTCTGTGAGAATGACAGGGGAGGATGTGAAAATGTCTTCCATGTTCTACTATGAATAAACCATTAGAGCTTAAGTGAAGGACATGCAGATACTAATTGGATATGCTTGGTTGATTCTATTACATTGAGAAGATAAGGTTAGGCAGAGAGGTCAAGAGGGCAATGTGATGCTCCATCTGATTCAGTGATAGTTTTCTTCTCGCAAACCTCTCTCCTCCCCCGCCCTCACACTCACACACACACACACGCGCACAGACACACACGACCTGGGGGTCAGCTGTCTTGGCTGCTGCTCCTGCTTGGCCCTTAGGGACGGCAGGCGGACAGGCTATTGATCAGCTGGACTATTATCAGAGCTGAAGCTGTTTATCATTCTGTCTGCTCTCAAGAGGGAGCCTCCATCTCTAATGGAGCGTGGTACAGTGCTCCCCTGCACCTGTCCTTGTCACCCCCCACACCTTAAGCGCCATCGATCCCCACATCACCTGTCCTTGTCCCACTGGTGCCCTGCTCTCTCTGGGGGAGGGTGCAGGCTCCTCCTGGCTCTCCTCTCCTCTGTCCTTTTAGAAATCACTGCTGGTAATTTGGGAGCAATGATGTGCAGGTAATCACACTCTGACCTGTGCCATATTCAGGCTAATCATAAAGCAACAAGACTAATTTTTAAGGTAAATCATTGTGTTAAAGGGTAGCTGTTTCTCGTAAGGTAGAGCGAGTCTTCCAAATTAGTTGGTGGTTTGATCCCCAGGCTTCTCCAGTCTGAAAGGCCAAAGTGCCCTTGGGCAAGACGCTGAACCCTACATCAGCCATGCCGGCTGTACCGTCAGAGTGTAAATGATGAGCGAAAGAAAAGTGCGGCATATGCTCTGCATGAACATGTGCTAATGGGTAAAAGTGTCAAGCTCTCTGAGGGGTCATTAAGATGAGAAAAGTGCTATATACACTAATACAGTCCATTCACTATAAAGGGCATCATATATATTTAAATATATATATATATATATAAGTTTGGAGGCTTTAAAGATACACATTAAAAAAAGACCATTACTTTTCGATCCTAGTATGGCTCAAGAATCAAAAACATGTCCAAGGTGACAGATTTTG